AATTTCAAAAAGAGTATGTAAGTTCCCCAGAATTCCTAAATTGAAGAAAGAAACAAAACGAACAAGAGAAACTTGAGACTTACATGCGAAAATATTTCAAATGGAGTTCAAGGTCGTAGAAGTTTACCTTGAGTTTGAGGATGAATATAGCGGCTCTGTATATGTGAATAGCGTAAAGAAATGTTGGCAGATTATACCAAGAACAAGGTGTGGGCAGGTCACATGGTGTTTGAAAGACTTGGAAGTTCAGGTTTCATAATATGTATCGAGAGATTGGACTGAATTTTCCATACATTTGTGGCTTTTTTATCAGGAGAGTGACACTCTTCGAGCCCAGAACTTTATGGTGGTGTATAAAGTGTAGGCAACCATGTGGAAGTTGTTGAGGTTCAAAGACGAGTTAGAAAATTCTCTATTTTCTTCCGGTCAAGCTTGCATTCTCCTATCAGATCTCCACTTTCACAGAAATGGATATATGTCGTGCACTGATCCTGATGTGAGCATGCACTCGGCTTTCACCGACACGAGCAGAATGACAAGTTTGAAAATGGACCAAATTCGCCAAACTGCTGCTACAGGTGAACATTGAAGCGTTGCATAGTGTCACGTTCCACTGAGCCGTGTTGGGAATTTGTGTTAAAGAGGCGAGGGGAAGAAATTTGGTGCAAGCTATGTCAGCTTGCATCAAAAGCAGAGGAGAGGAGAAAAAAGTATGATGAGAGACAGTGGTTTCAGCAGGTCCCTCTCTCTCTCTCTCTCTCTCTCTAAATCTCTCGGGATATCTTCCTAAAAGCAGCCGCTTTGCTCTTTCACCTTTCTTCTTGACAGTCCGACTCTTTTTCCTTTTCTTAGTTTATCGCACTCAACTTTGTTGGTCTTCATTGACATCCCTCTCGTTACCTTTTGTCTGACGTAGTTATACTCAGCCCTCCGCCGTAATCGACCTTCGGATTATCTCCCTGCTCTGGCTCGACCGAGAAGAAATCAGCAGTGTAGTCTGAAATGAAAGTTTCCATCTCAAGGGGTTCAGGTAAGCTAGCAAATTATAACGAAGATGAGAATGATATGGCTCAGAGTGTGTTGATAGATGGATGATTGATTGCTGCCACAGCTCATTGTGCTTACTGAAGCTACAGATACTTAATCACGATTAGGAGGAGCACGTGAGACGAGTGTCGCCAAAAGCGAACAAATGTAAGTCGACCCTCTGATCGGTGCGATGGTTGGAGGTCTGTAGCACCAAATCCTGTAGTGACACCGGAAGTGTCAGTGCCTTTCCACATGTTGTGGAGCACCCATTGCGAGCTCTCGTCAACACGGTGCCCGTCTGCAGCCGCAGCTGCATCGAGGGCCATAGTGCACATCAGCACGCCTGGCAACGGCTCCAATCTGGGCCACTGCGAGCGTAACACCGCGAATCACCACTTCCTTGTCGTTCTGAAATACCGTCACCACATTTAAGACTTCATCCCAATGACGGCAGCCCATGGCACGGGCGGCCTTTGCCAAATTCAGGCTGTCCTTCATCTCGTGGGAGCAGTCTGTGCCCGTAGAGCTTAAAACATTAAAACATTAAAACATTAGAGCCTTCTCATTGGGCATAGTGATCTGCTGCAAACTGGACGAGACGAAGTCCTTAATTGTCATGAAAGCTAGATCTCAAGTGTTAATACTTACAAATTGGCACCCATGTAAGCGCGCAGTCAATAGTATATTTAGTAACTCCATGTGTCATGGTCAGGTCTCTAGACCTAAGCCTTAGAGAGTAGACTTTGGAGTAGGCTTACTAATCTTGGAACTCGACACCGTGTATGCAATGGACACGAACTCATGTCCGTTGCATCGCCAAATTTATTTCCTTGTTACCGTATTATAGTCTTCGAGAGAGCATAACATATCATCGCCATATTGCTTTCCTTGTGACCATATTATACTCTTAGAGAGAGCAGAACATATCATTTCAAAACTCAACTTGAGCTATGTTATGAGAAGTATAAACTTTCGCAGATATCAATGGTTTTGCAAGCTGTGATTCTTATATTGAGCGTGTGTTGTTTTGACAGAAATGAATTTTATGGTGATAATATCAAGTTGAAGCATTTTCAAAATTTTCCTAATTGCTTTGGAGCTTATGTAATTTTTCAATTTGGGTGTAATATTCTGAAACGATAAATTAGGGAGAAAGCTTTGTAAAATTTGACCGCGTCGAAGAAATGAGTTTGGATCTTAAATTGATAATCTATCATATAAAGATTATTTGAATAATTTTCTAAATAATTTTATTATTAGAAAATTCATGCGAATATTCAACCTTAATGTTAGTTAGAGATTCATGTTTTATCTCAAATGGTTTTGTTCAAAATTTAAAAATATATTAAAAATCATGTTTATTTTGAAAATGTATTCGATTACTTTGTACCTATGGGTAGATAATATCATGTTATATTAAATATATGTTTTTTTATGACGGTTTACGTTAAGTAAGTAATTATTTCATGAAAGTAATGTTAGTAATTTTATGACATGAATTAGAGTTTTCAATAAAGAGTCTTGTGTGCTCGATGGGTTAAGATCAAAAGCTTATATCTTCTGTCATTTGTGTTGGAAATATTTGTCATTGTGATTGTCGATTCCGACTGAACCATATTATATATAATCAAATATTTTATATAACCATCATATCACAATAATGTATCTTATATTGTGATTTTTGCATTTCATTGATTGTCTATTGATAGAAATTATTTGTAATTGATACATTCTTGTCAAAATGATTTTTATTCAAGATTTATTGAAGATCCATGTAGAGATCATAAGAATTTGCCGTAGTTACATCTGAACATATATATAGTAAGAATCATTCAGATTGAAATAAAATTCTGGTTGGAGAGTCAATAAATTAAGTTTGATAGTATTTTGGAATTCATATTTCTATATTTATTTTCAGACATGAAATTAAAAAATTAACAAAAAATTAAATCATGATTATTTTCTCCAATATTTGGTTATTATAGAAATTATTGAATTGAATATTCTTAATTTGTGTTTTAGTTATAATGTGTATTAAGTTTTGCAGCACATGCAAAATTATATACTTATGTTATGTGTAGCTTTGTTTTTGTTTACTCGATGCTTGCTAGATTCAGAAAGTTTTGCCAGACTACAATGATCATTACTCCTATACTAAATATAGTTCTTGAAACTCTATTCATATGATTTGTTGTACAATGTTTGATGATTTAATTTCACCATTTCAAGTAATTAAGTAGATCAAGACAACATCTGGAACAAATGGATCTACTTGATGCATTTCTCATTGTGTACCTTTCATATCCAAATACAGAAGTTGGAAAGAGTTCATATGTTGAACCTTTGATTTCAGTTGAAAATTGTCATGTACAAGATTACAGATTTATAAGCTAAGAGGGTTGAAAAAAAAAGTAGCAACCATACATTACAATGCGCTGGTCGATTCCAGGATATAATTCAGAGGATGATAATTTCACAAGTTGACCCATCTTGATATGTTATATTCGACAAGGAGTTGAAGTGTACATTAAAAAACATACTCTATATTGATCATTAAGCTTGCTTTGTATTACAAGTGTAGGAATGTGACACTCCAAAGGAGTGGTGACTTACTCAGGAGATTGCAGGTTTTTGGAGGTCAACTGATGTTGACGTTACTAGGGTTATTAGATAGAGGTGAGCTAATCAACTAGGGTAAAACAGGCAGTGTATTAAAAACTGTGACAGCCCGAAGGTTTTCCTTGCTCGAGAAATGGGAGTTTTTCGAGCTTTAGGATAGCAGTTTTATCCAAGATATGATATGTTGGGGGATGTGATTTTGTTTGTAGCTAAGAGGTTTGGTGTGTTTGTGCTGTCTCACTTACCTGGAGAAGAGAGACTTCTTTACACAATCACCTGCAATCGAGAAAAACAGGAATCCGACAGAGTGAACATTTGTGTGTCGCGACATCTGGTACTACGTTATCTCGAGTGTGGGGAGTAGATCGCATGAATCAAGATGAGGGAGGGCAGGGAGGGCAGGGAAGGCTGAGTCTAGACAGAATCAAACATTGACAGATGACCAAAAAGTCAAGAAAGTAAACAGTTCAAATTGAAGCGTTTGCAGCCGTTCCTGGTACTCATGAGAGATGGAAAAGCGGATGATAGAGTAGAGATGAGAAAGAAGGGACAAAGGGAAAGAGGAAAGTGGAGGACGAAGAGCGAGTCTGATGTGGAACAGCCGAGACAGGAAATTAAAAAACAGTATTGAGGAGAGTCTGAGGGTGTCTCAGAATCTCTGTCGGCCTTGTGTGGATGACCAATCCTCTCGTTATGTGCAACTTTCGCTTCTCATGTGCCGCACGTTGTCCACGACAATCATTGCAATCGCTTTCCGAGGGAATGATCAAACAGCATATCGCGGATTTCTGGACTCGATCAGTCTCGCGCTTTACACGACCCAAACATCTTTCCCAAAGTATTGTTCTGACCGTAGGGCCAGTGTAATACTTCACCTTTTTACTCCAACTTTTACCACACACGGAATTGATAGTAAAAAATTCGCTGAAAATAGTCACTGGAAACGAGACGGGCATTTTGTGTAGACTCCTTTCGGACTACAGTGATCAACGTCAGGACATAGATCAGGCTCGGATTTTGAGTCCCTGATGATTTACTAGATCTCGGTTTCTACCATCGATCGAGATGAGATGGCTTGTGAGTTCAGGATAAAATCGAACGTATCCAAAGTTCAGATTCCAACTTCTGCCCCTTTTTTTGACAATACAATTGTCTTGGTCTGGATCCGTCAGGTTGTGAGGTAAGGAACGGCCACGCGCTGCACCTCCCACGTTTTGTACATACAATCTTACCAAGTTGAGTTAACAAAAAATAACTTAGGCCCTCCTGGTGCCAAAGGGATCCCAAGGTCTAGTGACCGTATGCCTTATCGCCATTGATTATCCGGGCCTGAATTTGAATTCAACAAATAGACGACTAACAAGTATACTTCTTTAATATTCCCTTGAAGAATCCTTACATTCCCACAAAAAGGGGATAAGATGTGGCGGCTAGACAGATACTTTAACATAGCTAGCACTGAGAAGTGGCACTACCATACTTCCTTCGAGTGACTGATTTATCTTGCTATGGGAGAAGGGTGGCAGCGGTGCAAGAACTTGATTTTGACAAGAATTGACTCCTTGTCTTCGGTAAGTAATGCACAAGAATTTGACGGAAGTAATTTCTACCTGGATTCTCAAGATCTCAACACTACTGAGATTGTAAATGGTTGGCTTCTCCTTATCTGCCACCCATGTAAAATTTACAGAGGAACTTCATCGTACATTGAGTTAAAGCGAGAAAAACACACACATGAGCATCTACTCCTACTGATTCATTCCGTCATTACTCTATGTATGACCTCTACTAGTTGCTTAGCTTGGAACGGTTTACAAGCATACGCGTCCATTCCGGCTTCCAAACACTTGTCTTTGTACCCTTGGATTGCGTGGGCAGTGAGACCGATGATTGGTTTTCTCGACAGATTTTGCTGTGACTCCTCGGCTCGAATAATTTTCGTTGCTTGGAGACCATCGAGAACTGGCATCTGCACATCGCAATCAGAGGTTGATTGCAGACTGGCAAGCTTAGAACCTCAAACGTGATGTCAATCAACTTAGGCTGATTTAACAATATGGTCAATGTGATGTACCCTATCCACATAAACAGAAACAACGGAGAACTCACACGTGAAATGCTAGAACGAAGTCAAGACCTCCCCTCGTTGTTACCTGAACGTCCATGAGAATAAGATCGAAGTCATCCCGATGCTGGTTCAGGACATTAAGACACTGCTGACCATCACTGACAACCTCCACCAAAGTGCCAAACTTTCTCAGTTGCTGGCATGCAACCTTTTGATTCACAATGTTGTCTTCGGCAAGCAGAACCTTCATGCCTTTGAGGAGGATCATAGAGTTAGGTGGCTCTTTCTTTGCATTATCTGCAGCTTTTCCACGAGGACTTGATAAAGCTGTTATTGCTATTCCGTTATCTTGTCTTCCATCTAAGCTTCTATGTTTCTCTTCCTTATTGCTGGCGTTCAGAACGTTTGTAGTCATAGCATTCTCGCCAAGGATGCCATTATCGACTCTCCGAGAAGTCGCATTTGGAGAAGTAAGGGCACCTTCTGCTACTGTCTCTGATCTGTGCTCAGAATGTTCCTCCACGTCAGTGGCTTGCTGAATCGTTTCTAAAACGCAGCTAGCACCGGGCTGGGTGGAATCGGGCCAATCCTGATGTGGGAAGTTAACTACTGCAGTTCCATGATACTTCTCCTGCGTAACACTGCTTCTTTCGAATCGAGCAATGAAGTAGAATGTGCTTCCAACTCCAGGCTCACTTTCCAGCCAGATTCGACCGCCCATCATTCCAACCAACCTTCACAGACAACAAAAGGATCGTAAGAAGTATACCTTCAAGAACTATCGAGAAGACAACCCATGATATCGAGATTAGATTAGATTAGAAGGATCGTGAGATGAGTGTCCAAAGTAAGGTGGTGTATCTCGTCACACGGTGCACAAGTCCAAAAACGATATTCTTCAAGACTTCCCGATATGTGTTCTCTTATTGGTGATATACGGGCTGGTAGAATTATACGACAGAAGCTGTATCATGACTTGACAACTTAGTAGCATTCTCAAATATATGGGAAATCCATTCAATCATATTTTGATGCCTAAGATCTGCGGAGCAAAGAGAGAACAAACGATTAAGGAATGAGGAAAGAGACGAAGGGTTAAGAGGCGATACCTTTCGACTATACTTAAACCGAGTCCGGTCCCTCCATAGAGCCTTGTGATAGAACTATCCGCTTGAGAAAAGGCCTTGAAGACCTCTTCCTGCTTCTCTGTACTGATGCCAATCCCTGTATCACTGACGGCAAAGAGAATAGCCAGTTTGCCATCTCCACCATCTTGATTTCCTTCACCTTTAAGAGTGTCTAGTTTACAATCTTCTCTCATGCTAGGATTCTTGGACCTATTCATTGAACCTTTGGCATGTTCTTGGGACAAACGATTCCACCTGTTACAAGCATCTGCAGTCGCCCTCTCCATGATATCTACACTGTGATGGTTATCACTGGGAGACGCTTCGTGTGTGAGCAAGTTCCCGTGATAAGCTGTTGCTGGAGATAATCTTCCTGATTTTTTTTCCATAGTGCGATTTGATATGAAACTTCCTTTTCTTGAAAAGATTTCCGGAGCTTCGCCTTGATGTAGCTTTGCTGTGAGGGAGACAGAGCCCTTCTGCGTGAACTTTATGGCATTGCCCACTGCAGGCGAAGAACAGCAGTGGGTCAGCTTATCTTTAAAAAGAAGCCTGTGCAGAATCATTTTAATTGAGAGCATATGTAGAACGCAGTTTGACTGTATGCCAAATTCGAAAGAGTAAATGACAAAAGTCAAATTTTCATAAGATGAACAAGGAAAGCAATATCAATCTCCTTACCCAAATTCAAAATGCATTGTTGTAACCTCCCAGCATCACCAAGAAGATGCTCAGGAACGTCAGGGGCAACATCCCAAGTTAGGTCCAACTCCTTTTGACATGCTCTGACCTAAAAAACCAGAGAAAGGACTCGTTAAAAAAAAAATTTCTCAGGATTCGTAAGCAGCTTTCAACCATTGATTCAACAGGTGAAAGATTTCTTCAATTTCTTTGTCTTATGGCAAGTTATAGGCTTTGGCACTTTTATCCTCAAATTCTTCGAAGCCTTCTGTCTCTGGATAGATATCACCTACTTGAAGCATTTTCATCGTTGAACCGATAGTGTCGGATAGACTGAAAGGGACGTGTTCAAGCTCCAACCGACCAGCTTCAATTTTCGCAAGGTCCAGGATGGCATTGACGATGTGAAGCAGACAGTCGGCTGACTGAGCTACAGTCTCCAGATGCTCACGTTGCTCACCCGTCAGCTCTGTATCCAAGGCGAGAGACGCCATGCCTATGATGCCATGAATTGGTGTCCTGCATTTGTGTGTAAGCCGGTGTAAGCATAGAAAATAACTCTCCAACCCACTTGTATTCTTAGCCGTGCACAACAAATAGACCGCAATTTCTAAATCAGTGCTAACCTGACTGAAATAGGTGGAATCGCCAGAACGGGATCCAAACGAAAGAACAAAGATATGAAACAATCATCAATCTTGAATTATTTTCCAAACTTAACGAAGAAGGATTAACCTACATTCATGACAAGAAATCTGCTAATCTAACCTATAGCAGAGAAAAAAGAGATCCAACCTGATTTCATGACTCATATTGGCCAAAAACTCGGACTTAGCTCTGCTGGCCTCTTCTGCGGCTGCTTGCGAGACCTGCAACTCTCGATTGGCTAGCTCGAGTTGATTCGTTCTCATTTTGACCTGGCACAATAGCGACAGTAGTACAGTTTCAAAACTCAACTAGGACAGGAAAGTAAGTAGACTGATGTTAGAGACGTAACAGCGTTCTTTAATCAGTCTTAAGATAGTGATAACATTCTTAAAATATTCGAAGTCATACCTGTGTTTCAAGGCTCTCATTCATGGAATTTAGTTGGTCCTCCATAAGTTTCCTGTCGTGTACTATAGCGGCAAGAGTCATAGCCACCATAGCCAGCACACACACATACATTTGTACCTACAAAATAAAGAGATTAGGGCGGAATAACTTAAAAACCCGAGCGAACGATCCAGACAAAACTCCCTGGTATCAATATAAACATCCAGTCGGTCGCCGTCTCTCAGATAGCCTTGCCGTACTACCGAGAGAAATGTAGATAAGAGGATACCTCGGTTCAATGGAAAGGGGCCAGAGTAGCTTGTTTCTAGACTACGAGTTCTTATCGTGGTCATTGGCACCTTGATAACTGTTGAATGGAAGGATCTCTGGAAATACCTGAAGTAAAGAGTGGTTGTCATTCTTCCGGTAAAGAGGACCCTTGCGATGTGCGGTTCCTGCACTGGCGATGAGAGCAATAACGAGGACAGCGAGTGGTAGGCCCAGACGATTGAACCGAAACGAGGCCCATATAACAACGGGGTATACCAGATATGATAGTCGCTGCACAAGACTGGTGTCTTGAATTCCCACATTGAAAAAAATGACAAGTGATAGTACGATCAAAACGAGGAAAAACGTGACGAACTCTGCTGCCTTCAAGATGTACTTCCTGATGGACCAGGCGACTGGCTCCTTCTCAAGCAGAGGTATGTGCGGTTGCAGTTCTGAAAGTGTACTACTATCATTCGCTGTGGAAAACCTTCCTGAGGCAGCCAAACTTTGATCGCTGGAGTCGAATCCATCCTTCGTTAAGATTCTAGTTTTTCCATTGGCATATTTAAAAGAAGGACCACCTTCTACCATAAATCCGTTTCGCCCGTTGGGACTTCTCCCAGTTCCCAACCACTCACTCCGTTTTCTTTCAAAGGATTCAAGAACCTTCTGAAGAAAGTCAGGCCTTTTGATCGAATATCGGTCGTATGAGTTGACCAGATCCACACCTCCGCTCTCCAGGTCGCATCCCCCAGGCGAAGCCGTGGCAAGCTTTCGGGGAGATCGCAAACAGTTTTCATCGAGTTCTACATGGCTACGGAGTACAGCCAGCTTCGTGTAGCCAGTTTCAGGACTATGGCCCATTTCCTGCAATAGCTCTCGTACGTGAACCGACTCATCTTTCAGTCCTGTGATTGAACAGGCTTCATCCAAAGAGCTGCGAGGTTCATCAGGTTTGCATATAAGATGGTTCACGGCAGAGCATGTCCATTTCTTCGGCTGAATCCGCGTCCAGAACGGGTTTCTACCTTTCTCAAAAACGTTCCAAAAGTGAAGTATGCACGGAGTAAAGCACAGGATGGCAGCCAAATCTCCGAGCACCCAAGTTGGCCATATATCCAAAAACTCATCCCATTTCGCCAGCTTGAACGTGGTGAGGGCGAGAACATTGCCAGAGCCGCAGATGAAGCTGGTGAGGGGAGCTGCTATGAAAAGCCACATGGCATCGTGGAGAGTATCGATAGAGTGAGACCCTTTTCTGACCTCCTGAAACACAGGCAGAGGATTCAGCTTCAGATTCGGATATATGACGAATGTATCACACCTTCGGAAGAGCTCGGCGAAAGCAAGTGCATTACATGACACAACCGCGGTAAGAAGCGATTATCATATCAAACTCAATGTGCTTCGCCAAACAATTACCATTATATACATAAAAGAAAATCCGGGTTTTCAAGAGCCAGTCAGTCACAGAATTCAAGCTAGAGGGAAAAAGACAATCACCTTTACAGGATATATAAATCGACCATTCTTCCACTGTGGAGGATGATTTATCATCCATCCGCAAACGACGCCTTCCATCGATGAAAATACACCGCATGCAATCGCTGTTGGTACAACTTCACGGTAAGGGTCTTTGTGGAAGTACCATAGGTTGATAGCAACAGTTCCTATAAACTCGCCGACCCACACATTGTAGCCAAATAGGAGCACAAAGGCCACCATTATCCCGGATGGTGCCCATATGGGAGAAGCCTGCTCACTGACTACAGCAAGAGTGTCCGACAGCTTGCCTGTGCTTACGTACAAGCTAGCCGTCAGAAGGTTTGTCAATATCCATCTTGCATTGCTTATCTGGATGGTGATTTTAAGGCCATACCACAAACGAGCAAACCCCATCTCTAATCGTTCACGTAACATGATTCGTTATTGGAGTACCGGAAAGACTGTAGAATCAGACACATAAGTGAATGGACAAAAGCGGTGGCTGCAGAGGCTGGTCGTTCAAATGTCAAGGGGACATTTATCATTACACGATCATTCCAGCTTCTTCCTGCACCTGCAGTTGTTCCAGATTTCGCAGCCTCGCAAATATACTAGTTCCGTGGAGCCGGCCGAACTTCGTTCCGCGAAGAGTGCGAAACCAGAACGTATAGCCTCGGTTGCAGCGGATCGAAACGAGCCAGTAGTCGGCAGCTCTTACTGCCTCGATGATTCAAGAACAAAAGCTTAAGCCAGACCAGGCAAGCGATTCCTGAGACGCAGCGCAGTCTGACAGCAAGCTGCACTCGGCACGGGCGGTGGCAGAAAAATTAACTGGATCGATAAACACCAAGAATTCTGCTCGCACGACTCTGTCTTACCTCTGCATTTCCCGTTTTGGGGAATCCTGCAGAAGCCTTACCGACTTCACAATTGTGTTGTCCATCAGATATCTGAATTGACAGCCTCTTGGATATCGCGTCAAGAGCAAATCTCCAGTGTGACTAGCTCACTGAGGCGATCGGCGGATCTGGCAGCAGCCGGTCACTTGCAAGGACCTTTCCTTTTTCTCCTTTTGGGCTGTTGCTAAGATACAAAAATGTCACTTAGTGGGAGACCATCAAACAAGGATTACCCAGACATCTTGCGGCTGGGGCCTGAAACAGACAGAAAGCTTCGTTCCACACATCGTGGCCTCGATGTTCTCCCGGCAGCTTTCAGAGACCTTCAAACTGTTCAGATGTCAAATTAGCAGAAACTGACTATTTCGGTGATCACGCTTCCTCCTACGATCACGTTGTCCTAAACAAGTAACCGACTGACGAGAGGTGAATCGGCTAAGAAATCTGCGGAAAGCGTGTCACGAGTTCCTTCCCTCCGATCGTGCTCAGATGTTGGGTCCAACCCTCCGCCAATTAAATTTTTTTTCTGAGATGCTTGGGGCTGGAAGATGGCAACACAGGAACGAAGGTTAATATAAGAGATATGTTTCATCAAATCAAAAGATGTAGGACACGATCATTGATGATGCACTCTAGCTCTTAAATGTTGGAGTCTAGCGACACAGTACACCTGCTGCACACTCAAGAAGGACCACCAACAGAAGTTGGAAAATGACAGAACGATACAGGATGGATCGTAAAATACAGTTGTATTGCGTCAAACTGAGGGGATCGCTAAAGAACCAGCCAAATTCTTGACGAGAAAGTATGCTCGCTACTTGGAGAGGTACCAAATCTACCGTAAGCGTTGTGGTAATGCTGGTACAGTTGGCGCTTCAAGGCTCCGTGTGGCCTGGAGAATCAATCCCTTTCCCGTGAACTTTTCGATAATCTGCCACTGAAGCTACATTATTCGCAAGACGCTACTTCCGAGATCCTCCGCTGAGAGCACTCAGATACAGTTTCACCAAGCCCCCGGGAAATCTCCTCCGCGAAAGATTCGGAAAGAGTGTTTCGACCGCATGGACGGGCTTCGAGGGGATCTGCTCAGCGGCAGGGAACGAGGCAGCGTCAACGCATCCAAGTCCGATACCCGCTAAGTGAACATTACGATTCTCTCTTCCGGACAAAGGTTCAAATCCCAGCAGCCAGAGAATGCTAATTTTGGACACGCGATAGCTATATCCAGAAAACGGAACTTCCTCAATGCACACGTCCCTATGTGACGACTTGGATAAACCTGGACCTGTAAATCTCCATTGATAGGCGGCTCACGAGGAGCCAGAAGATGATCACAATTCGGCAAATCGAGCACCCCGAGCCTACGCGGAAAGAATCGTGAGGACAAGCAGTCGTCTCTGTTCTCAGACAGGCCAACGCTCGTCCCAAGACTCCGCAAATCCCACGCTATATTCTTGCTCACTCCGCACCAGAACAGTCGTCTCACCGAGTCGTCAAGCGTTTCAGAAGGGGCTGCAGAGAACACGCCCGCACAGACGACGAGCCCAAGACGCATACTGAAAACTTCAAAGCCGCCACAAGCTGCTCGCCGGACGCGCAGATCGCCTCGACTGCACGGTCGCTCCAGAACACATCACTCTCATTCCCCGGAGCAGCCATGAGAACAGGCTCCCCACGCCCTCCGATCCTCTGCCTCTTCCCACCCTCCGCGCACCGAATTAGCGAGCCCTGGAGGCCAGAGCCCTGCTCACCACCAGCCCCGTCGCTCTCTCAGAGCAGCAGCAGCAACAGCCGCACCGCCCTCAGTCGGCAGCAGCAACAACATCGACGACGACGACTGCGAATCTTTCCTGCGCCCCGTCGCCCGCCGTGGCAAGCAGATGTCGCGGGGTCGGGATCGATGGACACGCTCCGGCTCCTGCTCGTTGGGCATCCCGGCCGACGACGACCGCCATCGTCAACGTCCTCTCCTCGGCATCGGCTTCCATTCCTCTCTTATCCTCAATCTCAATCACGTTGCAGCGCTTCTGACCGGCCCCGTCCTTTTCCTCGCGCCAATCCGCGCGCCTGCCCAGCCATCGCTCCCCGCCCCGCCCCGCGCCTCACATCGGCTTCATGCTTCATGTAGACTCCGCTCGCGCGCTCTGCCGCCTTGTCACCCCGAGCCGCTGCAGCTGCAGCAGAACGTTGCCCGCGCTCCATCATCATCCGTCATCATCTTTCCACCTCCCCCGTCGACTCGCGGGCGAACTTCCTTCCTTCCTTCCTTCCTTCCTTCCTTCCTGTCACCTCCGGAGCCGAACTGTCCTCCTCGCAGGAGGACGACCACATTGCCCGTCGCCTGTCCCGGGCCGTCCCGGGCAGCGCAGCCTCCGCCTCCCGCAAAACCAGCGCCGGATTTCTCGACCCGCTGACCTGCGGCCTTCTTGGCCCGAGCGTCTGCCCGCCCGGCTGACCGCGAGGGTTCGAGAGAGTATGCATGTCCGGTGGGGAGCGCATGGATGGGACCGCCGGGTGGCGCGCGGAATGACGGGCTGCCTGTCCTGACCTGCACTGCGCGGCTGCTGCTGTTGCTGCTGGTTTGTGGGGCCGGAGATATGGGCTCGATCAGCGGAGACGGGATCCGGGTCTGGATCTCCGGGCCCACCCGTAGGAAAAGCAATTCATTTTCTGTCAGGACAGGAATTTATGTGACATTCGGTCAGCCGGTTGAGAAGCCAGCCAGCCAGCCAGCTAACCACAACACAGTGCTCTCCATTCTCGGACCACTTTTACTGCTGCTAATTGCGAATGGACCTGCTTCTGCTCTGCTATTCGAAAGCCGGTCGCTTCTGGAGCTCTGAGCGTCACCCTCCCATACGAGGTTTCAGTGTATAGAAGTGTCGCTAGTCTCTAGTATCGGGTTACTGTCATTAGTATACTAACAGGTAAGGAGGTACAGAAACCTATGTACCTCCTTACCTGTTAGTATACTAGCGACAGTACAGGTTTTACTCGGTCGTATGGACGGGACGTGGGTTTATGGGAAGTTCAACATTATATGCGCTTTCCCTTCTAGTCAAACGTCGCACTTCTCCTCCTTCAACTTTGGTGCAGGCATAAATTGTGTGTCAGATTCTGATCAAGACAATGAAGAGGATATGTTTGGTGTAGTCAAGCGTATAGTATTGTTGTATGTGTTTCTATGCTCTCCTTTTGGTTAACTCATGTATACGTACCTGAAATTCCCTTGTCATTCGCTAAAATACTGCATCATATGAGAATTACAAGGTAGATTTGGGAATATTGTGGTGCACCATCCTATCTTAATCATTTTTACAATATTGAATATTTAATCTCAAACAAGTGTATCACATCTATGGAAAGATTCTACTTGTGCCCGCTTTCTTAAATTCCTCTGATCGATCATAATGAAATTTTGATTTCCTTATGAGTTGTTAAGATTTCCTCACTTCCCCAACACAACTGCTCATGTGATTTCAACCTTGGTAATTCTATTTCGAATGGTCACAAACATAAGCATTATGAAATGTCTGAGCTCCTCTGTTCATGTATGTCTTTTGGTCTAAGCTCTTAACTGCAGTCTCGCAATGAAATCTATCTGGTCAAACCTGCAGAGGAGAAAGTGGGTCAAGTGGATACCAAACCCGAAAATAGCTTCAAATAGCTTTATGGGTTTCCTTATCTTTTTATTTGTTTTCTTTGTGAATTTGTGTGTGCGTTTGTGTTTTGTCTTTTACATGCTGTCTTTGCACTCCAGCGCTTTTAAGACAGTCGCTCACAAACTCTTTACTCCAGTCTTGGACTCTTGCACATCCTTTGTAATAATGGATTGTGAAGCTTGCAGGAGAGTCAAGGGAATCAAGAGAAGGGAATGTCCAGCAAAAAGAAGTGATAAATGATGCAAAGAATTATTATTTTAGATACTTTGGGTAGAAGAGAAAAGAGGAAGTTGTTTTGTACGTGTTTTGACTATGCAGGAGGATGATGACTTGGATGAATTAATATCTAGTAGGCTTTTGATGGAAATCATATAAAACCCGTGAGGTTTTCCAAGATTTCAAATGCTTTCAAAACATGTGGAGTCTCAATAACTCTTTTGTTTGGTGGAAAATTGTTTACATCACATGCTCAAAAAAATTGTTTTCATCAACAACAAACCCAGATGAATGGGCTTTTCTTTCCCTACCATCATTGGATGAGCAAAAGAGCACAGAAAACAAGAGGTGTTTAAGATAATGCAATCTTCGATCTAGGTCATGAAAGCTTAGTGTAAGTGTGAAATCATGTAAGTGTACAAATTTTGGAGACGATGGGTCTAGGGTGAGGACCAAACTAGTGGTAACAACTCACGTACATGGCAAAACGTGGATTTGAAAATCACCAACATACGCATTCTGGAAAAACTTAAGGGAGTGTCTACCATTCTTGACTCTTCCATCTGGATTTTGCTTTCTAATCATTCTGGTCTTTGCTCGTGACCGATAACCAAATTTCTCAACTTTCAACATTCTCAACACGTAACGGGAAATATTGATGAATAGGACACAATCTTTAAAAAAAACTGGTATAATTGAAACCTATTCTTTGATTATGTGCACCAAAAATTCATTCTTCGTGTATGAACAAACTTCCAAACCATCATGGACCATGAAAGAGCAGACAAGTGCATGAATTGTGAGAGATGACCTTTTATCCAGCAACACGAGTGGGATGTTACTCCAAATGGCACCTATGTTTGTGCAATGATTGAAGAAAAACTTACAAAAGAATGTTTGAGGGTCTTTTTTACTGTACCTTTTCTTAATACTCCAGCAAATGACAGCTTCTCATTGGTGCATTCATTATATCTCTAACTATTAGAGAGTACAGGACACCGAAGACATTAACTTGACAAGAAAGTCAACTCCCATGCTCCAAAGCCAAGTTCATGGCACATGTTCCTCAAGTCTGGCCAGACCCATGATCGAACTAAATGTGGTGAAGATCAATGTCCGACCCAATTGAAGAGTTTGGTGACCTTGTGATCCAGAATTTGGCGAGACTTTCGGCGGGTGGCAAGGAGACAATGGGATATGATGAGATTGATGACGATGGACATCAAGTTGGACGACGGTACTGTCCTCAAACCAGACCATGAGAAGGAGAAGAGGTCCTTCGCTTGCGCTCTGGTTAGTGAGGGAGAAACCTATTGCACTGCCTTGTAACTTGGTTGAGTATGACGATCTGAAGTGTGTGCTCTCCAAAATATTTAACTGAGTAAATATTTTGTCATTGCGTTCCCATTGTGTTGGGGCCCAGCCCCATGTTATCGTTTCGTCCCTCCACGGTTTGACGAGATCTTCTAGATTTTTCTATGTTAATTGGCCACTTTCAAACTATAAATTATAATAATGTAATGTTTCATTGACTGAGTGGAAATAAATACATTATGTATCAAATTTCATTTTCCCTCCCTTAAGATTTTTCTTTTCCCATAGATTATCATTAACCGCGTGCGACAGTTTCTATCTCAAGACTCCCTCAAACCAACCGCGTAAATTCTTCTATACGTGTGAAAATTCACTCACTGTGTCTCTAAACGGTTCTGTCTCTCCCTTGGAAAAAAATATCTCTCCTTTACAACGTGAGAATTTTGTTAGGATCTTGGTCATCCTGAAGGAAGCGTGGATCTGTACGTGGCCAAGAATATTTGCGTCGCTCTTTTCAGCTATACTTTATATTATACTGTGCATTTCTTCAGCGTCGATATATGTTTGTTGTCTGAAAAGTCTTGTCCTGTTCCCTTTTCCAGTGCGTTCCAAGAAATCCAACACTCTAATGTCAGCGGCATATCCCCAAACACGGCAAGTATGTCCACTTTCGTATACTGCATGCCATCATACGGTGATCACTTCGTATGTATGATTGCAGATTGAATCGCGCCTTTTATTCCCTGCGCCTCCCTTCTTAATTGTCTTCCTCAAGTAAACGAGTTTGTTTCTACATGACAGTTGGCACACAACAGTGTTAAACTGCTCTGTATCATATTGTCAAATTCGTTTCACTATTTCGGAGCGGTTTCGTTGACTCCAAATCTAAATACAACATCTCAAATAAATTGTTTGTGTACCCAAGAACCTCTGGCGGCCTTCTGATTCCAAACACTAGTTGATTCCTCCACTTAGTGTGTGAATACATAACCCACGTTTGATGTACGAAAGGAACGAAGTTAGTACAGTGAAAAACTCTAAATTTGGAATCTCACTGCACGTGGTTCACTTCCTGTGGTTGTTTTGCTCATAGCTCTTCTTCAAGGGAGCTGTTTGCATTTAGTGTTAAAGATGGGATGGGTCTTGCAGGTTCTCCATGAATAGAGAAGGGAGGGGGAGAAGAATGGAAACAAATTTAACTATTTTCGGGATTGGAAAATGCACTCGAGTGCAGTACTGTACTTGGAGGATAATGTCTTTAGGAGAACCCCCCAGAGATTGAGCACTTTTGCCATCAACTTTATCATGCGCTGAAGATATCAAGTTCTTCCTAGTTTCGAATGTGATCTTAGACTTCTTGGGGAGCCGTTTGAAATCTTATGGCTGGCAGTTGCTAGCGCTTACTGGCTACCCATCTAAAAAGCTCGCAGTGACGCACGACAAATCAAGAATGATGCCCTCGCCCCCACTCCCCTTTCATGCGGATAAACCCTAAGGTGGACCAATGCCAATCCATGAATGTGGCAAGAAAAAGATTGAAAAGGTCACATGGCATGGAAATATTTGGACAAGACAACCTCGATGCCATAAGTACATTTGGTCACAACACGAAGTTGGTTGAAAGTGGAAGACGCGGACGTCTACAATCCTATATTGCATGCAAATCAGATCGACATCTCTCTCTCTCTCGAATGAACAAAACTTTATGAGACAGGGTAGTACCACTCTTTGATGCAGGCATAGATTGCCCTGGCCGAGCTTAACAAATGCAATCTAGTTCATACAGCTTGTAAAGGTAAGGTGGCTTCATTGTTGGATACAAAAAGCTTTTATCATCTTCCAATAGGAGCACAAGATCTCATATGATGACATACGCTTACAAACCAACGAGCTCCAAATGGAAATCCCATAGATACGAGATCAAATCTGACTGTCAACGAGAAACCATCATCGGAACCACCTTTACTGAAGAGGCAGATTATGCAGTTTGGGAAGTAAGCAAAGATTTCTGGTTCTCCTACACTTCTGGACACGTCTGGAAAGACTTTCAAAAAGTGTAACCAGTCAAACAAGACCAGTCCAACATGTAGATACCACATAGTAAAGTGAACGAACGAACGAGAACACACACACACACACATATATATATATATATATATATATATATATATATTTTTCCTCTAATTTCCGGTCCAGTCTCGGCCAAGCATCTTTCCTTCCTTTCTCGTCATTGATTACGACACAGATAGTTCAAAATAATCATACGCTTAATCGGATCAGAATGAGAAATTGGAATACTAATTTTTTAACATGGCTAAGGATTATGAAGTCTCTGAACTCGTAGCCACCTGACAAAAGTCACATCGATCATCTGCTAACGGTAGCAATTTTTAAGGTTCGAAGCACATTAGTAAAACAAAAAATAAAAATTCCCAGCTTTGAAACAACATTCATGCTTTCTGATCTACATAACATCTGATAAACCTCAAACAAATTACATTACAAAGAAAGGGATCAACGTAGTGTACTACTATTTTCTGGTGTATTTTTCAGTTTTAGCTCGTTG